CTGTTTGGCGCCGCAAACCTGGGAGAGAGAGAAGCAGACCGGGGCGGCATGCTCAGGGGAGGAGGCGGAGCAGAGGTGAGCTGGGGCGAGGAGTTCCCCTGCATGCCGCCCCCCCCCTTACTTGCTGCAGGCGGCCCTCCCCGCGTCCCCCTGCCCCAGCTCCCTCCGCCTAAATGCCGCCGCCGCCCGGGGCAGCCAAAGATCTGGCCGCTGCAGTCGCCGCTGAAGGACCCGACATGCCACCCCCCAAATGTTAGCGCCCTAGGCGACCGCCTACGTTGACTAATGGGTTGCACTGGCCCTGCCTGCAGATCAGAGTGCTATATAGACATAGTCCCTGGAAGTTTTTCTGAGGGTAATGATATTGCAAGAGATCTTGTGAAAGGAAGACAAGAAGGGCAGAGATCCTGTTTACCGTGAAAAGAATTGGAAGAAAAAACTGAAGTTTCCATAGGATGCTCTGTCAGATTAAATCAACTATTACAATGATTTCCATGTTTAGAGTGTTTTGAGCAATAAAGCTAAGCTGGAGTATTAGCAGCTGGGACACACAGCTCCACCCCCTGAGAGATCACTTATATGGCCTTCATGAGGCTGAGTAATAAACACTTTGTCTTCACCCTGCTATTTATGGGTTGCTTGAGGGCATCAGGCTCTTTTTCTGCATTTACCTGGGCATACGATTATTGTGGAACTGGGCTTTAATAAGATCAACAATAAATTAGAATGACCACACATGAACAGCTAGCTACTGCTTCCCTGGTTGGCAAGGGAAGTGCTCATTACAGAGTTGACCTGGTTTGCACTAATTCATATCCTCTGTCCTCCCCTCTTTTGTGGATATGTCTAAGGTTTAAGATTACAAACTGGAACTGTTGTAACTGAGTTAGAGAACAACTATGTTCTAACTGAATCAGGGGACCTGGAGCTCACACTGCAGCTTGCATCTGACAATTCCTATTAGATGGCTTATTGTAAACATGCCTAAAATTGAACTTATTTTTCCACCTAAACCCTCTTCACTTCCTCCCTTCTCCACTTCTGTCTAGTCTACTACAATGATCTTTGGCACCTAGACATGGAACTCCGAAGTCATCAGAATGTTGGGAATCATTAAGAAAGGGATAGATAATAAGACAGAAAATATCATATTCCCTCTATATAAATCCATGATACGCCCACACCTTGGATACTGCGTGCAGATGTGGTTGTCCCATCTCAAAAAAGATATATTGGAATTGGAAAAGGTTCAGAAAAGGGCAACAAAAATTATTAGGGGTATGGAACGGCTTCCATATGAGGAGAGATTAATAAGACTGGGACTTTTCAGCTTGAAAAAGAGACAACTAAAGGGGGATATGATAGAGGTCTATAAAATCACGACTGGCATGGAGAAAGTAAATAAGGAAGTGTTATTTACTCCTTCTCATAACACAAGAACTAGGGATCACCAAATGAAATTAATAGGCAGCAGGTTTAAAACAAACAAAAGGAAGTATTTCTTCACACAATGCACAGTCAATCTGTGAAACTCCTTTCCAGAGGATGCTGTGAAGGCCAAGACTATAACAGAGTTCAAAACAGAATTCAATAAATTCATGGAGGATAGGTCTATTAATGGCTATTAGCCAGGATGGGCAGGGATGGTGTCCCTACCCTCTGTTTGCCAGAAGCTGGGAATGAGCAACAGGGGATGGATCACTTGATGATTACCGGTTCTGTTCATTCCCTCTGGGGCACCTGGCATTGGCCACTGTCGGAATACAGGATACTGGGCTAGATGGACCTTTGGTCCGACCCAGTATGGCTGTTCTTATGTTCTTATCTTTTTATTTGTTCAGTAAAGAACCTAATACATGTTGGACACAGTATGAATAATAGTTAACTGTAATAAATAGACAATATTTTATTCTCCATGTCTTCTCTGCCTTCTACTCCATCCCCTCTGTCTTTATTTCTTACATCTCCCATCATTTCATCCATTTTTCTCGCTTTCCTCCACCCTATCCTTTTCTCTCTGTCTATAACACCGGTTCTGCTCTACTATTCCAATGAAGCCATTCTAATGACAGCATCCCCATTTCAGTAAGCACAAATAGAAGTGAGGATCAGCTGGTGTGAAGGAGAGGTTATTAGGGAAATCTCAAGGAGGGAGAGGGAAGAACTACTGTAAGATAAATGAAGAAGAGGGATTTAGTCCCTACCTGTTGCCGTCTCTTATGTTGACTTGAATGTCTTGTACTTTTTCTTCAGACTTTTTCTTTTCATATAAATCCTGGAAAGGTGCACATGAGCGTCAGTGGAGTCAAATGGGCCCAGAGTCGCAGGACACTTGAGAGCCACTGGAATCAAATGGGCCTATTTCTGCAGACCAGATCTTTTGGTGAATTTCTATTACTATATTTGATACAGTCCCATTTGTGATATAAAATATCTTTGAAGTCTGATGAGGGGTGATGGAATGGAGATGAATAAATTACTTCTGCATGTTATCGTCCAGCTGATAGAAAGAGCACAGACTCAAAGTTCTTACACTTCTCCAGCTTCCTCTTTTCAATGGCAAAATTGTCCCATCCTAGGAGAATGAGAAGACAAGACAGAAAAGACTGAGTTTGGCCTCTTATAACTTCAGGAAGCTTCCCATGGCTGCATATCTCACAGACAGGGCAACACCTTTGTATAGTGCCCTTCTGGCTCCAGCCTTAGGATAATGTAACCAACAATTTAATAAATAATAATCATAATCATAATAATTAATAATGTAATACTTAGCATTTTATATTCTGAAAGCACTGTATAATCTGAATAATAAAAGACTAACAGACTATATGTTGTTCCTTTTATATATGAGTGAGCAAAGGGGGTGAATTTTAGTACATGTGGAAGTAAAGGACTACATGCTGCAGGCTAGAACCAGTCTTAAGGCAGGCAAATATTATGCAAATAAATCGACCAACACCCACTAACTCCCCTGCTGTCCTGGCTTGCCTCATCCTACTATACCAGACCTGGGACACTTCCCCATTCCAGCTGTGCCTCAGTCTCGACTTATGGACCCCTACTATTTCAGTTCTGGACGTCTTGTGGAGAGGCCTTCACTCTGGTATAATCTTGGCTTCAGATATGTGCGGGGCCGTCTCTCTCTCATGACAAACTGGAGGATGTAGCCAGACATCCACTATTTGGGACAAGGCTAAAAACAAACTAATTTAACAGGTGAGTGACCTAAGCCATATTTGAATCCAGGAGTCCTGGGATCATTAAATTATACATGTAGCTCTCAAAGTTTATCAGAGTTATTCACATCCTTTGGCAGGAGAATTGGCTACCAGGACTCCCAAAGGGAAAGATTAGCATACTATACTATTACTCCTTTGTGTCTTCTAGTATCCATGAACACTATAAAACTGGAAACTCTGTTCAATGTGGGCATTAGTTGGGCTGTAACTTCAGAGGTGCTGGAAGTACGGTTAACCACTTGGAGTTATCCAGGGTCTCACAAGAACAAAGTCCCAGAAGATGCCATGATGAAAGGTCAGGCTATATGAACTTCCTGGTTTTGGCAGCTGATTTTCTAATCCTATTATCACACTGTAGAGATGGGTACTGCTAGTTGATGGCAAAGTTCTAGCAGGTCTAATTAAGCAGACTGAACTAATAACCTTCCATTTTGGGACTGGTATCATTCATAATTTAATGTATTGCTGCTGAAACATTAACCTTTCGACAACTGGCACTGAGCCCTGAGCACAACTTAGTGCTGACCATCTTTCAGTAAAATGAGTATTATTGTTAAAACAGGCATAAATCATTCATGGCTTCAGCTTTTGTGTCAAACTGTACATGAGAATAAGTAGTAAACTAGATAATTTATTTACCTTTTGGTGATTATTTTTTATGATTTTATTATCATAGTCAATGATTCATAAACATTGGCCAAATGCCATTTCAACTCATTTTTACCTTTTCAGTGCTTTGGTGTGCTGTTTTTCATCTTTAAAAATGTCAGCACTGATCAGGAGAGCTTAATCCAGGTACAAATACAATCCCATTTCAAAGGGAAAACACCCCTTACACACCTCTGCCACCACCACCATCACAAAACTCAAATAAATCCCACAATCAGTTTTCAGCATGGCCACTGGAAGTTTTTTGCACTTACTAGAACAAATGTTTATTTGAAGATTCACACACAATGTGCGTCAAATTCAAAAGAAAAGAATATTTTAAAGCAAGTTTGAAAAGTTTCTGTTTGGAAAGACAACATAAACTGCTGGGAAGGGGAGACTGTAAAAAGCTGGAATGGTTCCAAATGTGTTGGAAAGCAACATGCCCAGCTCCCACCACCTGGTTATTGGAATGTGATTGTAGACCCAAGGGACTTTCTGCTGATTCACTGCATCATGTTTTGCTTCCAAAGTGCCACCAACATGATTTTTCTTGTACCATGGAAAGATAAGAGAATCAGAGCTAACTGGTGACTAGATGACTGCATCACAGAGCTCTATAATAAGGCTCTTCTGTTGACCAACCCTTGTGGCAGCTGTTAAATCCCTGCATAAAATTGTGCAAGTTCTAATACCTGTTAATAAGGTGGGTAAGCAGAAGAGTTCACTGTTACAGACTCCTTATGTGTAGCCCCTAGCACATTCCAACACATGGGACAATGCAAAACAAAAATAATTCTAAGTTACTGTCACATTTGATGTCCAAATTTAAGGTCCAATTCAGGAAAAATATGGTGCATTATCATTAGAATTCTGCTAAGTCCACTCTAATCAATTTTATAATGCAATCATTGCAGTAGTATGTACATTACGCAAAAAAGGAGGATCATGCTCAGAGGAGGACAACTGCTTGTTGTGTGAACTGGTTTCACCAATATTCCATTCCACTGTGCCTCTTTTGGAAACCCCCCTTTTATGCTCTACAGGTGACAGCAGCAGGACTTGAGCAGAGAAAACACAGATCAATACAATCTCAGACTCACAGCACCAAATACCTGCCTCCAAAACATCAACGGCTGGATTTTCAGGGATACTAAGCACCTCCACTTCCCATTGACATTAACTAGAGCTGTGAGTGCTTAGACCTTCTGAAAATCAGGCCCCAAATCTGACTGCTATGATCTGCCTCCAAGTGGTACCATCTCCAAAGGGCTGTTCTTACCATTCCCAGTCTCTGTAGCCTTTTTCAGCACATGACTGACTAATTTATCTCATTTAGCAAAAAATCTAAAAATAATAATAAAGAAATGGAGCTAAACATAGTATGAACTTTGTGAGCAGCACTCACAAAGGGGATCTATTCCAATCTGCAGCTATGGAAGTCCTCAGAGCATCCACACAAGAACCTTACCTGTGACAGTGAATGACAGACATAATCTAGAGAGACAAGGAGGGTGAGGTAATATCTTTTATTGGACCAACTTCTGTTGGTGAGAGAGACATGCTTTTGAGTTTACATAGAGCCCTTCTTCAGGTCAAGAGCTCTGTGTAAGCTCAAAAGCTTGTCTCTTTCTCACCAACAGAAGTTGGTCCAACAAATATATATTACCTTAACCCTCTTGTCTCTAATATCCTGGGACCAACACCACTACCACAATGCTGCATAAAAGAAAATAAAAAAGTCTCCTACCATCTGAGAAACATGCCTTGAAATGTTTAGCCAGTGACAATCATGTAAAAAGAAACATCTGACCTATTGTGTCACAGGAGTTTTTCAAAATGTTACAAAATGTTCATTGTTATGTCATTTTAATACTATTTTTTAACAAAAAAACCTAGTTTGTGCCATAATAATCATATAAATGTAGGTTTCAGAGTAAATGTAAATGTAACAATGCAATGAAATTTTTACAAAACACTTCTTTGCAGAGCTCTACTGTGGGGTGGTGGGGGTGGGATTTGGGAGCTGGAACACACATGTCTTGATGGTGTCACAACTATGTTATGGGTCCCAGTTTTGATGGTGCTTTTGATGGAAGCTGCCACAGGCTGATCATTGCAGTGATGCCTCACATCTGTTCCAGATGCTGACGGATGCATCAGGCATTGCATTTCAACTGACACCTGTTTTTCTGTTGGATTTTCCCAAATCTCTGTCTAATAGAGAATATCTTTTCTTTGCAAATTCTGAGCCTCACATAGAGAAATAAGTGAATAAACTAGAGTAGAGACTTTATGAAGGAACTGGGTCCTTGATTATCACCTTCCAAATATAATCTGTCACTGTATCTTGGGGTTGACTGTCAGGAATGGCCTCAACAGCTGCAATATCTGAAAAGGGGCAATATTTGAAAAGAGAAGCATCTCCTGGACTTATGGGAGGAGCTCACAATGTAGTTTTAAATGGAATGTATTCTATCTGGGGGGCAACAGAGGGTGCAGCAAGCCTAATGCTTCAGCCTTAGGAGTCCTGGAGTCAGATCTGGATTCATATTTGACTGAGGTCACACTTGAGGTGAATATGGTGCTCTCAAGCGGACCTAATGTATTTATGCACATCACAGAACTATAGAGTTTTGCACAATCAGTAGTGAATCTCTCTCTCTCTCTCTCAGATTTTCAGAAGGTGCTTATCACCTTGCTATCTAAGCACCTCTGTTTAGGAGAGGCCCAGTGTGGGAATACTGAGGTATTGGTTGAGGTGAAAGAGAAAGCACAGGGCAGCAATAGCCAGGACTGAAGTGCATTAGTGGAGCTGTAGGGTGGGAGCACAAGACAAGAATAGCAGGTTGGGCTGCAAGTGCAATGGCCAAGCTGCGTGCCTTAGCTTTCTCCCCACTAGACCTGGTTTAGGCAGTACGGCTAGTCCCTCACTTTCATTAGCAGCAAGTCAACCACAATAAGAAGAAAGAATTCTTGGAATGCTAGGGTCTTTACACATTTCCCAGTTCCACTGCTAATTTTCCACAGCAGCAGGGAGAGAGCAGTGTGTGCAATTAGAGTTTTACAAATGGATTACAGTACTTTGTATCTTTTGTAACCAAAGTTTTGAAACGTCCCACATTTAACTGTAATTGTCTCCCATCTCTTGTTAAAAGATTCACTTTGAATCAGAGAAAGGCAGTTTGCTCTGTGAAGTCCATCCACTCTAGATATACCATACCTTAATTTATATAGTGCAGCCAGCATACAAAAACTCAATCACATGCTTACCTGGGGCACTGGGATTAGAACCCTGGTTTTTCTGCTTAAAATCCAAAGGAATTTACCACTAGAGCTAAAAGGGCTGATCAGTAAGGAGGACCTCATGTATTTTGTGATTTTTCAGCCATGAAATTTATCTCTTGCTCCAGATTTCATTTTATGTTTAAAAAAATTACCTTTTTAGCCCTTATGGTTACAGACATAAATGCGATAACACGAATAGAGTGTTAACTGATGTAGTCATGTCTACCTGAATCTGTTGAGGTACTGAAACAGTAACTCTAAGGGTACGTCTATACTTACCTCCGGGTCCGGCGGTAAGCAATCGATCTTCTGGGATCGATCCCGGAAGTGCTCGCCGTCGACACTGGTATTCCTGCTCCACGAGAGGAGTACGCGGAGTCGATGGGGGAGCCTGCCTGCC